CCCTGCTGGCCGATTGCCCCCAACTTCCCCCCTCTGTGGGCCTGGTCGACCGAACTGCCCTTCCTGCCAGCCTGGTCATCCCTCATGCCCTCCGCCCCACCAGACTGGTCACCCCACACAGCCTGCTGTTCAGTCGTTTTGTCATTCCTCACTAACCACCCTATCCACCTGGTTGTAGGCAGCCATCTTTGTGAAGGTGTGATGGTCAATTTGCATATTACCTCTTTATTATATAGAATGACATGTCTAACTAAAGATTTAACTTCAGTGTTTGATATATAATTAAGGAGATAAATGACATCCACTGGCCTAGAGACAGTTTTGAAATACTTATTCAATTTAAAAATAATTGTATCATGAAAGCTTATAAGTATTCTTCAATATGTTCATTACTGAAAATCCAAATAAATTCTACAATAATTTTGTGAAGGCTAACAATGCATTTGTTATAAGTTGACAGCTTTAAAGGGTGATTCATATTGATGTATTTTGACTTTTACACTTTTTAAAAAATATATTTTATTGATTTTTTACAGAGAGGAAGGGAGAGGGACAGAAAGTTAGAAATATTGATGAGGGAGAAACATCGATAAGCTGCCTCCTGCACACTTCCTACTGGGGATGTGCTCACAACCAAGGTACAGCCCAGGACTGGAATCGAACGTAGGACGTTTCAATCCACAGGCCGACTCTCTATCAACTGAGCCAAACGAGTTAGGACTTGACTTTTACACTTTTATTATGATTTGAGAATAACTTTATTTTTGCTCTATGCCCAGTTTATTCTCTGCAATTAGAATGCAGTGAATAGTTAAGAACCAATGAGAAGAGGGCTGGTCATCAATAGTGCTGAGCTCTACCCAGTCAGGCATCCTTTTTGTTTCTGATATAGGCTGAATTGCATAGGAGACTTGCTTGTGCTCAGTATCCACAGCTCACATAATTCCCCCTGCCCTTCTCTGATTATCGGCAGATTTTTTTTCTTTTCCTGAATAGCATTGGAAGCCAGATGCCAAAAATTCCTGGGGGATACCAACTTCACTAGGTAGTATAACTTCAACATATACTTAAAAAGAAGAAAATCTTGCCGAAACCGATTTGGCTCAGTGGATAGAGCGTCGGCCTGTGGACTGAAAGGTCCCAGGTTCGATTCCGGTCAAGGGCATGTATCTGAGTTGCGGGCACATCCCCAGTAGGAGATGTGCAGGAGGCAGCTGATCGATGTTTCTCTCTCATTGATGTTTCTAACTCTCTATCTCTCTTTCTCTCTGTCTGTAAAAAATCAATAAAATATATTTTGAAAAGATGTGCAGGAAGGTAAGAGGAAGGTATTATTTCCCCCAGAAAGCACAGCTGGCTTCCCATGGACTCACCCTAGTCACTGGCTGTCAGGATTTTGGGACACGGCACAGTGACAGCCCACGCCTGCGGACAGACTGTCGCTCCTTCCCTGTGGTGTGCCTGTTCCTTACTTGGATTCAGTTCCCCCAGAGGTAAAACATTTTTTCCTTAGTATTTTAGATAAAACACCACAGCCAGGAAAGTAACACAGCAGAAGAGCTCAAAATAATCAAGTAGCATTCACAGGTTCTAATCTAAGTAAATCATGTCCATGTCTGTTGGTGGAATCATTATTCTCTTGAAAAATGCAACTTCCAAACTGCCTGACTCCGAGTTGTAATAATAAAAAAACAAAGTTGACTAAGGGGAATGGTGAAGCATACTTGTGATGGGGGCCATTCTCTTCCAATCCCTTGAACTCTGAACCCATGTATTCAAACTAAAATACCAAAGGCATCATATATCAGGCCATGACTTCAAGCATGCACTGCATCCTTTAATAAAGCGCTTAAAATACACAGGGGATTATCTCCGCTAAAACCCTGAACAGTTTTCATTAGCTAACGGGGAACTTGGTAAAATCACCAAATTCTATGGATATTAGATTTTCTCATTTCTTTGGCTATAAATATGTTTCCTGGTCATGTTGATATCAATACTATGATTTTTACCAAGACTTCATGCTCATGGTTTATGAAGCTGGCAAAAGTACTACAAGGCAGTGGGGGGTATTTGTTATTTAAAATGTAACTAAGTCTATGGAGATAATGGATGAATCTCTATGATGGAAAGGGAATAATGCTATCTTCTCCCTTTTGGCTAGCTTGAACCCTAGGGAGTAGTGCCACATTGAGAAGGAGGTGAGGAGATATATTCTACTAACAAATTGAGGATATAACAGGTGAAGTAGTCAGATAAATCCTAGTGAGGTGAATTCAATGTTGTGCATTCATGTATAGTTTCCATCCCACTGTCCGTTGCTCAATGGGATAAGTTTTATGACCAAATTCCGGAAGGTGGAAAAAACAGTGTCATCTACAGGACTACTCATCCAGAGCACCTTATTATTAAGAAGGTTGTCTGCAACACTTGGATTCTGGAGGAAATTCCCATTGGATACTAAGATCTTCATTATGCAAATTTCAAAACAGGTTTATCTATATAATTCTACTCTAGATCTTCTTTCCTTTAATCTTGCCTCTAATTCTTCCCAAGTCTTTGACCAACCAGTTAATCCATTAGTCACTGCCCATGAGTCTGTAGATTGTAAAGCAAGCCATTCTCCTTATAATTCTGTCAATGTTTATTTTCTATAGTTTAAGGTGGTAATAGCTCCATTTACATAAAATTAGATAATTTCCAAATGAATAAAAAAATTCATTTTTCATTGACTTTTATATTTGGTAATGCTTTTCCAGTTAAAATCAATTATTTCCTATTAGCAATATAAAACATCTGCATCCTTTGTTAAGTATATACATGATGTATGGTGTGAGATGGGCACTAGAATTATAAGGTGGTCACTTCATGTCTTCAGTTAGTAATTCACGGTGTATGTTTTCTCTATTTAGTGTTATTTTCCAATTTGGTTCTAAGAGGAGGTGTGAGAAAGATCTACCTACCCATATTTACTATTTTTAATCCATGTTTCAGGCTATAATAGCCTCGTGTTTAAGTTATCAATACACATTTTTAATCAGTTTCTTTTCTTTAACTCTTGCTTTTGTATGTATTCTATGTTTAGATGCCAGAATTATTTATTAAAGGGAAAATTTGACCTTGTGACTTTCCTCCTTTAAATTTGAGTAAATAACTTTTGCCTATAAATTAAAATTGAAACCATTTTACACTACCTATTGTCTCCTATTTCAATCTAACTTTCTTCTAGAACCTACTTCCCACAACTTTCTCTGTGATCCATACCCACTGGAATGTTTTCCAAATACACATGAACTTTTCTCATTCCTCTGTTCATTGTGAAATCTGTCCTTTGCCACATTCTGCCTAGATCCTATCAAGGCTTTCATCTCACCTCATATCTTATCTATCTTACTACAGTTGTTTCCAATTATTCC